AGTGAGTGAGTGAGTGAGTGAGTGAGTGAGTGAGTGAGTGAGTGGCATGAGTGAGTGAGTGAGTGAGTGAGTAAGAGTTTAGTTTTATGCCTCTTTTAGCAATATTCCAGCAATATCACAGTAGGAGACACCAGGACATCACACATTGTGTCCATATGGGGAATTGAACCCGGGTCTTCGGCATGATGAACAAATGCTTTAACCACTAGGCTACCCCACAGCCCATAGGCTACAATGCCACCTGATGTTATTGCTGACAAGATTGTTACTGTTATCACCAACAAACATGTCGCCCTTCATAAGAGTTTAACTATTATTCTGATGGAAAACCGCAACATAAACAATATTGTTATCGTCAGCAAAGTGTTATCCTTTACAAATATGTAACTGTCCAAGATATTTTTATGGATTAAACTTCTTTTTAAATTTCTCTCACAACGTTTCGAGACCATTCCAGGTCCCTTCATCAGGTGAACTGTCACCTGATGAAGGGACCTGGAATGGTCTCGAAACGTTGAGAGAGAAATTAAAAAAGAAGTTTAATCCATAAAAATATCTTGGACATCAATGTACAACTTCTAAATGCCACAGAAAGACAAAATATGTAACTGTTATTCCAATTATCGCCAACATCATCAGTGAAACCAAATTGTCATCGTCCTCAACAAAAGCAGTATTGTCATGACTGTTTTTCAAAATGGATACATTAACACCAATCTCCTCAATAAAAGAAATACTGTTATCCTCAACAACACCAATAATGACATTGTCAACATCCTCAACAAAAGCAATATTATATCATCAACATCCTCAACATCACCAATATTGTCATCGTCAACATCCTCAACAAAAGCAATACTGTTATCCTCAAAAACATCAACGCAATCCTTCATGTTTGTATAAATCTAATCATGATAAGACTAATTTTAAAGGAAAAACAGTCACTGTAACTCTGGTCTGGTACATATCAGTCCATCATCGGCCAACTCAAGTTACCAGGATTCAAGCTATCAGTATGATACTGTGTGTAGAACATTGCACAAACTAAACAGGCGTTTCCATGTTTACACTGGGCTCAAAATCCAAACTGCCCGCGCTTCCACAGACAAGCAAACTGTACTAATCAAGCTTAGCCACTTTTCAGTGTTAATCCACTTGTCCTGGGCTAGCAACCAGATATTGTAAGAAAATTTGGAGATACTTTTTTATTTTACATGATAAATCTGTCCGTTCAAACATGTCAAATTAAACAAACTTGAAAAACTCGTCAATGACTTAGCTTCTGAATATAAACAGTTTTGACAGAAACAAGCATGTACATTAATAGCGAACAGTGGAGACGTGTCTTCACTCTCGTCCAACAAATCTTCATAATGAATCAGGGAAGATAAAACAACAAACCCTTGGCCTTGAGGTGAAGGCCGATACTACGGCAGTATCTTATACTGGGAGATAAACGTTTTGTCGCTGACAATATATTATTTTGACATAAACAATCTTCTCTATTTAAACTGAAAAGGCGCATTGCGGAGATGGGAGGTTGAAACATGGTTCATCTAGACTTGCTTCATTTACAGATGTAGCATTAAAGTGACTGTAGGCAGACTTCCACGGTAAACAAGATGGACGCATTCTACGCAGTTCATCTGACACTATCTGTGACAGAAACAAGTAATCCACTGTCCATAACTCAGCGAAACTTGCTTCATTTATAGATGTAGCATTAAAGTGACTGTATGCAGACTTCCATGGTACACAAGATGGACACATTCATGATGTCCACGCAGTTCATCTCACACTATCTGTGACAGAAACAAGCAATCCACTTGTCCACAATTCAGTGGGACAGAATGTGCATGTATGCAAACTTGGTCTCGTTGCTATATGGCTGAAATAATGCCAATGCGACGTAAAACTCACCTCAACTCAACTCAGTGGGACAAAAAACAAGCGATCCACTAGTCCACAATTCATCACAATCGTATCATTCTTATTCTTGTGCAACTCCTGGAGAAAATGATGACTCCAATGATACAATAGTAAGATATACTGGGATTTTCCAGACAAACAGACATATATCAAATCTGCTACTTCATTTCTTGATGCCATTCAAAGACTTAACACCACCTGCACTATTTAATTCCCTACTCTTAATATAATGTACATGTTGTACCTATGTGAGGAATAAAACACGGAACTATGGTATGACGAACCAGCACCTTAACCATGTTAACCACTAGACTATCATCTGAGTACACCACGATGTTATACTTATAGCACCTGTGAAGATTTCGGTTAAAATTGGTCTTCAACAATGGGATCAGGTGGTCAGTCTCGCTGACTTGGTTGACACATCATCGTATCCTAATTATAGCAATCGATGCTCATGCTGTTGATCCCTGGATTGTCTGGTCCAGACTTGATTATTTACAAGACTGAGGCAATATGGCTGTTAAACAACATCAAACATATTCATAACACACCAGGCCTACCACAGACTGGGATATATACTGGTGGGCCAGTCGATGTGTTAAAAGCCATGGCCATCAATATTCCAACTAAAGCAGGGTGAATAAGCTGGACATGACTTAATGGATCCGGATATACATTATGGAAAACAGAAATGTTTGAGAACGTTTTTCATGAATAGTTCAAGCTTCTACCACGGTCTACAAACACGAAATATAACAGATATAACATAGCTAGTTGATAACAATAAAGCGAGGTTATAACATAGATTATAAAGAGATTGTGAAAGTACAATGAAGGTTTACATACCACATTTTCTGTATTAAGTGCCCCACACCAAAAAGTGACCCTTTGAACAACTTCTAATACAATTAGTTAAGTCATTTTAATAGCAACCTGCATTTAGCCTAAAAATGTACACAACAAAACTTATTTCCTTTTGAATTGCTTAAAAACGTCCTGACCCCTACTGTAAAGTTTCAAAATGCCTGGGTGGTGCTTTATGGTAAATACGGTATTATGAAGGAGCTGATTTGTTTTGTGGAGGAGGTCGCTGTCCTACGCTGATCTGCTCACTTACCCTAGAAATTAAGGGAACACTCAGGGTTGTTACGTCTTCTCCATGATATTATTCTAATCCATACACTCCCCAAATGTTGAACTTTCAACAGAGTTTCAGTTTCAAGCTTAATTCCAAACACTGTATGAGGTAACCATGGAAACAAGTGAAAATGTCCATCGCCTAGATTTAGGAGGAGACTGTGGTGTTACATTATCCTAGTGAATAATTATGAAGCATATCTAAACCAAGGAAGAACATCAGGAGGAACAATAATCAGGAATACTGTCTCTACTTCCAAGATCCAGCAATAAAATGTCAGAAGAAAAAACATTGTTCCCTGCAAGGTTGTCAGATTATATCAGTGGCTCCCATTTATTGTAAACATTTCACAGGAGAAAACCCCAGCAGAGGACTCACGGCTTCATCAACGGATACTGATAACAGTATTTCATAATGACAAGGCATAGCTGTCTGGGTCGCACCCTCGCCCACGACTCCAACCATTCACTCGATAGTAGGACTGCACAGTGTTACTGGTATAGCGGTATATCGCAACACGCTTTTCAAACAATACGTACTGCAATATTTTTTCCAAGAACCAGTATATTGGGTAAAGAACATATATGAAATTTTTGTGATAATCATTATGGTTTAAATTAAAATCTGCAGACTTTCATTCACAACAAATATTTTCCTTCTTTATTCAATGACAAAACGACATACAGTAATACCATAAATTGTATAAGAAAGAAAATAGAACCCCTGAGCATGCAACCTAACTTGATTGCTGTTATCAGAACCATAACATATACGTTTAGGGACTTATAATGTAGAAAATATGCCAAACACTAAGTTCCCAATATATCGCAATACAGGAACTAAAATCGCATTATATTGCAATACAATTTATTTGCCAATACACAATCCTACTCAACAGTGTGTAACTTCTAACTACATCCAGCAAACACACATCATTAAAGATCAAACCTGGGTGGGGGAGCTGCCATAGAATATGTTTGTCAACATTTTCAATCTGGATCCAAGAGAAAATTATTGGGATAGGCTAGCCTAAACCTGACACTACTAAACCCCAAGGGTCGGGGAGGGACCAGAGATCAGTGAAAGGATACTAAAGAATATTTCTTAAGTTATATCTATTTTGTATAAATATTTTTAATGGGTGGAAAACATATTCTATAATCACGTCAAACTGGGCTATATGTTGTGTTTGTGCTATTCCGTAAGGATATGTATTCTAGCTGTATGTATTTCTGCCAGTGTCTAGTTAGGTCATCGTAGTTTTTCATAAATTGAAATGAATAAAACTGATATGACTTAAACAATACAAAATCATTCATCAGGAATATTGCAAATATGACAGTCGGGGCTGAAAAGATTTGAATTTTTCAAATGTGGACACTGCCTCGTTATAATCATATTTAAGATTTTACAATGAATGTGTGATAACAGTTATTAATCTGTAAAGAGTGGAATACATTAGTATGTTCCTGGTAAATACAAAGTCATAATGCTTAGACTGGATTGTCTATAAGTATAATCCCTAGATCTAACTATTACTAAGACTGTACCACCTGTCAGCTTGGTTCTCTAGCCTGCATCAGCAACATTATATATATTTGCATTGTTTTCCAAGCCAGTAGTAGAATCAAAACAACAAAGTACAACAACACCCCCGTGCTATAACAACAATACACACGCTGAACAGTAAGCGTAACGGTAGCAGTTTAGAAATGGAATTATGTACAGTGTATTGACATCAGAGGTCTGAATAACATTATGATGAAGCTCAACACGAACGTCATCCAAACATACACACAGGTTCCCGGAACTAGCGACACAACATCGTTTCACACCGTTCACCCAAATTACACGTCGAAACTGGCAAATTTAGTATTTGCTGGGTAGCAGGGTTGGAATTGCACAAAATTTGTCAAGATCAATTTCTTACCGTGTTCCTTGTTTTTTCTGAGGGTCATCGGTCGAGCTCTCCATGGGCCCATTTTGTCCTGCGTTTGAAGCCATCTAAAGATATTATAAAATCTTCCTGCTCCGTCCTTCGTTGAACTAAACACCTCCACAGGGGGATGGCACGTAAGACCTTGCTAAAAGCTCAATTATGTCAAATGAGGGATTCTGTCGCTCACAGAATGGCCGATCTTCAGCACAAATGGTGATGCAAATTATCCCAGAAAATTTATCACTTGCCGACGTTGTGTTTGCACATACACGGCACCGCCACCTCCATAGAATATACAAATCCAAACGTACGTGGTAATTACGAAATTCAAGAAAACATACACAAAAACGGCGTGTTTATACCGCTCAACGACAACCCAGCACTATGGTCGATGTCATGGCGGATAGGGTTGAGCTCAATTTAGCTCGCCAAATTTCTGTCAGTGTGCTGGGCGATAGCACACTTGCTCTTTCCTTTTCGCTTCGATTACGCACGACTAAAAATAATATCTGTGTCTAATCACCCGAAACACGGGATGCACTTCTTTATACCGACCACTAAGCCTAAATTATGTCAGCAACAATGTCATAATACACAAGCTCGTGCAAACGGTTCTGTTGTTAATAGCGAGGTCATGTGACTGACCTCCATACAGTCTGAATGACGTCAAGGGGTTTCCTCGCCAGCGTGCTCCACGAGCTGTCGGGATTCCCCAACCTATTTTAGTGTGTCTCGCGCACCTTGGCGCACCTGCACGGGATGCCCTTTTTACGTTGAAGCTCATTTTATAAACTGAGTTCTTTCGACATTGTCTTTTGAATCAATCAGGGAAATGATTTAAATTACACGCTTGAAATTTCCCTTCCTTATAAGAACTAAAATGTGAGATATATTCGTCATAGGAAGTTGAAGGTTTACGGACACGTTTGTACAATATCGGTCAACTAATCGGTCACGTGCTATTTGAACTTATTCACGAATTGAATATATTTCGTTCGGAAACATTAACAGATATAATGTTCACCTTTTAGGATATCAACGCACGTGGTCACTATTGTCAATAATTATTTTTCTAAATGTGTAATTATTTGTAGGGTAGGCTACTATTTTTGGTAAGTTTATTTCAGGATTTATAATTGCTTTTATTCAGCTGCATTTAGAGTGAGTGAGTCTAGTTTTACGCCGCCTTCAGCAATATTCCAGCATTATCACGACGGGGACACCAGAAATGGGCTTCACATATTGTACCCATGTGGGGATTCGAACCTGGGTCTTTGGCGTGACGAGCCAACGCTTTAACCACTAGGCTACCACGCCACAGCTGCATTTAGAACTGTGATTATATTTATAACCCATTTTCATCTCGAACCGTCTTATTTTCCTTTCCATCCATCCCTAACTGAACATGGTGCTATAACAAGTCTGGATTTTCGACAGGTTCTAGTTTTGACTCTCCTTAACTAACTGGGGCTACTTTACATTTTTCTGGAGTTCTTTTTCAGCTTAAGGATATTTTTTCAGAGACTTTTTTCTTACGTATTTCTGTATTGAAACACGCAGATCATAAAGTTAATCTGAAGGCACTTTATTATATTAGTAGAGGATAATATGTACATGTGATATTGACAGACAATTCTAATTGTTCCAGTGGCGGTGGGGTAGCCTAGTGGTTAGGGCGTTCGCTCGTCACGCTGAAGACCCGGGTTCAATTCCCCTCATGGGTACTAAGTGACAAGCTCATTTGGTGTCCCCAAATGTTGGAATATTGCTGAAAGCGGCGTAAAACAAAACTCATCCATTCAAATTGTTTTATTTCAAAACTCATTAACTCCCTGTCAGCCCGGTTTCACCACGGAATAAGGAAGCCTATTTTCTTTGAATACCTAATGTCATTTTTTGTTCCACAGCTTGATGTTTCTGAAAATTGCTTAAAGCGGCGTAAAAACTCACTCATTCTCCTTGGCCTAGTGGAAAGGGTGTCGGTTAAAGCCTAATCTGTGGTTCGGTACCTTGCTGCGGACCGCCTCCGTGGTGTAGTGGTTAGAGCGTCCGCCCGGAGAGCGGAAGGTCGCGGGTTCGATCCCCGACCGCGTCATACCAAAAGACGTTAAAATATGGTACTTGTTGGTCCCTGTCTGGCGCTCGGCATTAATGGGTACAGCAAGGACTGGTCGGCTCAGAGTCAGTATAATGTGTCTGGGTGGGGTATTCATGCTTCACTGCGGCATGGTATCTCAGTGGGCTAGCACCATAAAACCAGCTTCAGTCTGGGCTAGTACAAGCAGCCGCACATACACATACACACGCATGCACGTCGTCATATGCGCGAAATATTCTCAAGCACGACGTTACACCCAATTTCACCTCACCTCACCAAGCTGCGTCAACCCAAAAGTTGCTGTCGAACGCTATACCCAGCAATGTCACAGCTATATCACGCTGGTCTGTAAAGTTGGATCAGATAATCGCATGATTGACATCATGAGCACTGACCTACTCCATCAGGGTAAACTCCATCAGGGTACCTCGCCACACATGACCAACCGATGTGCTTGATCTGCAGGAGATTTTAATCACTGCACACGCATACCGGTACAACTATTAAAAAAATCTATTCCTACTTGTCAAAAATCAAAGCCTCTACTTCTTTTAGTAGTCGTTTGATTTCTTTGTGATAGTGTCCACGTTACGGCTGCATGGCAGCGAATCTCTTCACAGCGACATCTTGTTCCTTAAGCTGTATTTACAACACTAGCACGAGAAAGCAGTGTCATGCAATGTTTAGAGTTTGACACTTGGGCATCAACAGCGAATTACGCCCATCGTGTCCATGTACTATAACGGGTTATATGTCTGCTTGTCTGTTGTTATGGAGACATTTAAAGTGAGTGAGTATGGTTTTACACCGCTTTTAGCAGTATTCCAGCAACATCACTGCGGAGGACACCAGACATGGGCTTCACACATTGTGCCCATCTGGGAAATCAAACCCGGGTCTTAAGTGTGACGAGCGGACGCTTACACCAGTAGACTACCCCACCGCACCGGAGACATTTAAAGAGCAATATTCTTAATGTCGGACAGACAGAACGTTTAATGAGCAATGTTCAACGTCAGACAGAGAGAAAGGGCTGGTGTTTTGTTTTATTATTGTTTTGTTTTGTTTGTTGTTTTGCGGTCTGTAAATCCAGTTTGGACCAGACAATCCAGTGATCAGCAGCATGAGCATCGATCCACACAACTGGCATACGATGACATGTGTCAACCAAGTCAGCGAGCCTGACCACCCGATCCCCTTAGTTGCCTCTTACGACAAGCGGGGCGGTGGGGTAGCCTAGTGGTTAAAGCGTTGGCTCGTCACGCCGAAGACCCGAGTTCGAATCCCCACATGGGTATAATGTGTGAAGCCCATTTCTGGTGTCCCCCCGCCGTGATGTTGCTGGAATATTGCTAAAAGCGGCGTAAAACCAAACTCAGTCAGTCAGTCAGTCAGTCTTACGACAAGCACGGGTTGTTGAAGACTAATTCCAACCCCGGATCTTTAGGGTTCAGGGTTGGCGTCGCATCAAATCCTAATCGTCATGCACGTAGTAACACACTACATGCAGCTAGGATCTATGGAACGTTTTGTCCAAGGTTTATCCCGGTATTTCTGTTTATCCTGTGTTTACATGGAGCGTTATGGCGAGATATTGCAACGTACATGTGTCCTTATAACTATACATCTTAAATCTGTTATTTCAAATGTCCTCTCTCTCCACTCCATTGTTACAAAGGGTGTGGTTAAAAACATGACTCGAGGGCCTCTGGTCCGAACAGCGTGCATGATTTATGTGTGAGTTCATATGGCAAACAATGAGCCCAGCTGCGGCCCTTTGTCACGCTGGGACCCGCCCACATGGCCTCACTTCCGGGTTCCTTTCATGGCTAATAAGCCTGGTTCCCTGGTTATTCGGCGCCTTTTTGTTCCAGTGTCAGCGCAGCAAAACCAGGGAACCACATTAAAGCTACCGGTAAATCGCCACCGTCTCATGAGATTAGGGATTCGAATGCGTTTCTGAAATCGTGTTTTCTTCCGACTTGTATACTTTTCAGAAACAGTCACGCAATCACACTACATGCAATAATAACTAGCTTGACCTCCTGCTAGTTGTTGGACATTAAAGGCTGTGTTTTTCCTTATGCGTGAATTACACACGAATGAATACCATTCATCAGGTCACGTCAAGTAATTAGTACACACTTATTGTTGACCACTTCTTACAAGTGCAGGGCTAAGACAGCTTAGTGCAAATGTTCTTAAGGTGACCAGAGCCTGTTTTACAACGACATCTTAGCGTTTCACTGCTTTTGTTTACGTTTGTTTTTTTGTTGACGCACTATCCAGCTATGGAACAGTGGTCTGTAATTATTCGTGTCTACAAACATACAATCTGGTGACTGATATCATGAGCACCAAGTCATACAAATGGGGTACGGTGACACGGATACAGCCATTTTACTGAGTGCCACATGATTCATCGCTCATTTCTTCCAGCTAAGGGGCGGTGAGGTAGCCTAGTGGTAAAAGCCTTCGCTCGACACGCCGAAGACCGGGGTTATATTCCCCACATGGGTACAATGTGTGAAGCCCATTTCTGGTGTCCACCGCCGGGATATTGCTGGAATATTGCTACGAGCGGCGTAAAACTCACTCACTCTTCCAGCTAAACCAGGAATCCTTTTCAAGGTGAATACGGTTTTTAACCCCGAGCTCCTGACCTGACGGAAAGCCAATGTTCGTGACATCAATCACTGGATTGTCTGGGCTAGATTCGATAATTTACAGACCGCTGTCAAATACCTGGAAAATTGCTGAGTGCGGCTATTAGCAACAAACAAGTAATACCTTTCGTTTCCCAAATGTGGAAAGTTCGACATTAATGAACTCTCACTCATTCACTCACTCACTCATTCCCTCCCTCACGTACGCACACACGCACGCACGCAAGAACTCCCTCTCTCACTCACTCACTCTACAATGCTGATCAAACAATCCACACGTGGGGTACCCATGCATTTTAATTAGAATATCGGCATCACGATCAAGGGTAGTTTAACACTGTATGTATTTTCCTGTACTGTATAGAATCAGGTTCTGATTATGAAGACTTGACTGTCAAAAAATATCACGTGATGTGCCCTTTAATCGACCACATCCAGGTAACAAGCCTTGGTTAATATCCTGAGTGCCCGGATGTGGAAGTTTGGTGACCGTGTTTCGCGAACCTGTTTCCTAAAGGTAAATATGCACGTGGAAATAAATCATATTCTGTAAATCGCGGTGACAGGTGCTCGATAGGGAATTGATTGGCTGATGTGACCGTATTATATTACAGGTATTGTTGTGTTGATTTTATATGGCTTTATTAATTTTTCAGCTTTTGAATTTGGTATGAGATTTTCATATCGTTAACCTTCTGTGAGCCGAGAGTAAAGACGACCATGATTATTCCGAATATACTAAACGAATGGCCGTCTGCCTGAGTGTCTTGATACAAACTTGTCAGCCCTGTGACAGGGAAGACGGTTGGGAACATTTCAGCAATATTGCTTAGGATGGTGCCCGCCGTGATATTGCTGGAA